AAAAAGAAGTCAGCCCCTTGGGTCCTCATAAAGCTCCTGGCTATCACTTTTGCCCCTGTTCCCTGTTACTTGATGGTTTTTCCAGCATGTTCTTCAGGCTCTGCATGTGTAGCGACAGTCGCCGAGGCTTTCCAGACAACCTGAGAAAGCACATGTGCTTAAAAGCATCACGGCTGTCACCAGCAGGCTTTGTTGTATGAGCAGCAAAGCAAGGCGCTGACCTGAATTCAGCGTATCAGATAGATTCACTGCCAGCTGTGTCACTATATGCAGAAATTCCTTATAGCTGTAGTTTGTGTTTGTTCTTAGATCAGGGCAGCGTGTTGTTTGGGATCTTAGAAACATTCAAGTGCATTTTTTCCTACTTGATCTTCTGATGATGTTTTTCACACATGCGTGCGTCTTATTCTCTAGAACACACTGGATTCTTCCTGTGATTGCTGCTGCACTGAAAGAGGAAAGCTAAATCTTCGTTAAGCTGGCTTTTTGTTGGTTTTGTTTGTTGTTGGGGGTTTTTTTTGCCAAAAAGGTCTTTATAGGATGACGGCAGACATCATGCTTTCAACTTAGTTTTCTAAGGGTATATTCTACCTCTGACAATCTGTGTGTCAGACCTAAAAGGTTCTCATTTATTCCTAACATAGTCCTCTGTTCCCTTTCAGGACCACTGGTTTTGGCGAGTGAAAGATAACGCTGTAATGCAGGGATACCCCATGCCCATCCGAATGTTCTGGAGAGGCCTGCCGCCCAAGATAGACGCAGTCTATGAGAACAGCGAGGGCAAGTTTGTCTTCTTCAAAGGTGAGGCCTTTACACTCCACCACCATCACTGTTTAGTAAAGCTGTTTTTCATTACAGGCAAAGCATCATAAAGCTTTAATCTGATCCTGCAGTGCTGTAGCCCAGTTGCCTCCGTGCAGTCCCGGCTTACAGTAGCTCCATGTCTGCTCTGTTATCCCCACAAGTCATCGTCTTGTATAAGCTGGATGCTCATTCCTCCTATATTCAATTTCCATGTGTGTATGTTGAAAATAGAGGGATTTTTTTTTTATGTTATCGTGCTCCCTCCGAGCACTGCACTGAGTTTAGTCTGGGGAGGATTAAAGCAGTTGTTTTGCTTTGGTAGGAAAGTTTACCACAAACAGCTTTGCCTTTTAATAATGCATATGTTGCATTTTTCTGCTCCAGTGATATATTTTCATATAAAATTGTCCACTGCAGTCAAACACAATCTGTATGCACAGGTCTTGGAAATCACTGGAACAGCATGTGCAAGGAGAGCCTCGCTGTTTGATGAGACCTGATTTTAATTGTTCTTCTTTTTTTTTTTACTTTACTGAAAGATTTGTCTTCACATTCAAATCTAGACTGAGCCCACAAAACAGCTTTACGACTAATTATGTCTGAAGCTGCAAAGCCACTTAAAAGAAGCAAACAAACACAGCCCTCATATTTGCATACACACAGAGAGGACGGGAGGCAGGGAAAGGCGGGGAAGGAAGGGTGTTGATGAAAGGAGACGTAGGTAACAACAAAACTCTGCTGGGATACAAAAAAAACTACAAATCTTCTCTCAAACTCGTTTCTATTTCCAACACCAAACAATTCCTGGAAATGCAGACTGCTGGTCCCGGGTGTGCCACGAGCTCTGCAAGTTTGATTTCGCTGCCTTCTCCTCCACCCTGCTCTTTACTGGGCAGCGGTAGAGTTAGAAAATTCATACTAACAGAATGCCTTTTTTCATTTGAACACACGCAGCTGATTTCCCAGAAGGCCTTGTTCTGACTGTCACCATTTGGAAGAAAAATTAGGAAGAAAGTCGGTCAGAAAGCAGAAGGCGGCACTTTAACTCCTCGTCTAACCAGGCGTTTTGAATATACTCTGAACAGCTCTCGTCTGATGAATTCTCTTAAAATACATCCACAGATGGGGACGTTGGAGTCTGCTTTGGCTGTCGTGGCTGAGACACTGATTAGCTTAGTGCTTTTTGGGCAGGTCTGGAAACAGACACCGTATACATTAAGAGTGTGCTCTTCGTTCCTACGCCAATGTCAGTGTATTAGTTGTTTCCCTCGCTGAATTCTTCAGAGACGCGAGAAGTTCAGCATGAATTTTAAACGCATCAGTCGAACCGGGCATGCTGTGTGGATTGCTAATCAGGCTATATGCCCTTACAGAATTACCATTCACAGTTTGGCAACACCATGCAGGCAGATTTAGAAGAAGAGTGTTTTACATGGAGAAATGTTGATTAATAAGAAGCTGTGTTGTGAATTGAAATTAAATTAATCAGATTAGCATGGGCTTTTGCAGCTTTACTCGGAGGCGCCCTGCGTATGCACAGCACACATATAGGGGTATGTATTTTCCTCCTGGGAGGCAGGATCCAATCAGAGCTTGATTGAGGCTTTTGTGTCAGAGGACAGACAAAGCTACTCTCTACATCTAAATTATGCAGACATGGCTTATATTGTTTTATAACAGATTAAGAGCAGAACAATACGCAGGCTCGGCTAATGTGGTAGGTTAAACCTGCATTTTTTCTAATGACCAGCAGGGGGCAACTTTTATCGTTGCAGAAAGAATAAAGGTCTGTAGAAATCTATGGGAAAATTTTGACTTTGATTGATAGTTTCAAGTCTTTCTAAATATAACCTGATTTTCATTTGGCAACCCTATGGTCCCCACTAGAGTCATAAAAGATCAGTGACACTCACCACTCGCTCATCACGTCCAATTTTAATCACTTAGAGACAAAACTCTCACATTGAACTCGAGCTGTAGGCTGGACCAGTATTGGCGTGTACATTGAATTTTAAATTAAAAATGTCATTGAATTCACTCCCAACCAGTTTTGCCTGGTTCTGCTTTGTTCTTGTTTCTTCCTGTTAAAAGGGAGTTTTTTCCTCCCACTGTTTCCAAATGCTTGCTCAAGAGGTTTTCTCCGTATTCTTGTAGGGTCTTATTTCAAGTTTGGGGTCATGGTGCTGGTTACAGTTATATACAGCCACAGGTATTTGGTATCCTGCTTATGTCTGGCTCTCTTCCTGTGTGGTATATTGTGTCAGTGCAGATATTCACGGTGGCCATGACGGATCAAATGCTCTGCAATTTAAGAAAACACCGGCAAATATAAACGTGCTGCAAAAACACTCAAAACTTAACAGAAGTTTAATAAAGCAAAACAAAAGTAGAAAAAGTGTTTTTTTTATATATATATTACTCTACAGTAATGTATGTTTTCTATTAGCCACTTACTGTTAGCCACTTACTGTTAGCCAGTTACTGTTAGCTTGTCACTTCTGCATCAGAGCTAGCTACTAAGTGCAGCTAATGTTAACTCCATGAATTATATAAAGTTTTTATTAACATTTTTACTGTTTTTGGCTGTTCTTTGTAAAACTGTTGCCCCATAAAGAGGTTTTTGTATGCACTCGATAGCTAAATGCAGGATAAAATGTCTCAAACAAAGATATTTTCATCAGCAGATTCTAATCTGAAACATTAAATAGAGAAGAGGGGACGGTATAATGAATTTAGGTATGAATGTTCATTGCCCCAGACTAAATAAAACATTTAGGACAGAACATCTAATTTTAGCCAAAACATTAATACCCTGGCATTTTGGCTCCGAAAGGGTGAATGCTCAGTGAAAGGGTGAATGCTCAGGTCCTGAGCAGGAACTCTTCTAACACAGTGTAACCTTTTAGTACATTTACTGCTCCCTACCTTATACCACAGGGTTACAGATGGAGGTATCATGCAAAATAGCAGTCAGTTTACACTTCTGTTTTTTGTGAGAAATGGGGGTTATGTTTGGTTTATGTTCAGTAGTAGCAGTCAGCACTGTTCCTGCTCCATCGGCGCAGTTGTAGCAGTTTTTAGTTTTATGGGAGAATATCTGACAAACTTAGAATCTCCATAGACTGTCTGGCTGTTTGTTGTACATGGAAAAGCCTGCGATGATTTTTTCTTAAACGCCGTGTCGAAGAATGCATTTCCAGATCTGAACGCGATGATTTCAAGCAGACATTAAAGCAGCTTTGCCACGGGGTCACACTGGGCGTGCGTATGCATAATAAGTTAAGTACTCACAGGCGCATGTGTGGTTCCTGGTTTTCCCATTTTTGTGTGTGGCCTGTGTAAAGAGGAGGCGTCTCCTTTTTGGAACAAATCTTCATCCTATATAACACTTTTCATACACTGTTGAGGGCAGGCGGGGGGGATTAGTCGCTGCAGTGCAGCAGATGCCAGAGCCACCACTACATCAAAGCAGCTCTCATAGCTCTGAAGATGAAGCTCAACTTTTATGTGGAGGCCGATGCAAGTCGACTCCAATTTAAAAAAGAAAGCGAGAACGGAGAATCCCATTCTATGTAGGATTGGGGGGAAAAAAGAGTGAGAGAAGGGAAAGTTTGGGAGTTTTTTTTATGAATCAATTTGAACTCATTCTTTCTGGGGACGGGTCACTATTAACCTCAGGGTGTGGCGTGTTAGCGTGGCGTATCAAGGCCGGGAGGAAGCGTGACCCACGGTGAGCGGAGCGCTGAGAGAGAATGACTTGAAATGGCAGGAATTTCCTTTTGAGAAAAAAAAGAGGCCGTCGCAGGTCTCGCCTTCCCATTTAACATTCAGCCAACACCCTGTCCTACTGTTCCTTCCACCTTTCCATCTCTAACGTATCCGTATTGTTTAAATACTTTAGGGTGAAATGTCAGACATGGGGAATTTGTGAAGAAAATGAATGAGGCCAGATATTGCTGGGATTTTGCCTCCCTTATTTGACATCCATTTCCTGCATTTGTTAAAAAAAGAAAGAAAGAAGTTGTGTGGTCATCTGTAAAGCTGACCCTGCAGAAATTCCATGTAGTGTTTCAGGCTGATTGGTGTTTAGTTAGACACCAGGGAGGCGCGAGGATCCAGCTCTTTAAACACAGCCAGTTAATCAGATTCTGCAAACACTGTTTGAATGTTTGATTCTCTGTTTTTGTCTTAAAAACAAGCTTTAAAAAACTTAAATTTACTTATATTGAACTTATATTCAATGTCTTGAATGTTACAGAGATTCAGAGGCGACTGAAGCGTACTGTGTGTGTGTCTGACATCTGCACATGTCACACACTCCTCCTTGTCAACCCTTTTTTATGTTTTCCTCCAAACCCTGATTTATTTTTGTCAGCGCCACGATTATTGAAAGAAATACTGTAAGTATTTTGGAGATATTAAACCGATGATTGCTCTTTTCCCGCTCATAAAACAGCAAACATTCATAGCCTCAGGCTCCGTTTCATTTGATTTAATCATATAAAGGGAATAATAAAAACGCCATCTGCTCTGCCTTTGTCATTCCAACTCCTTCTTTCCCTTTTTCTTTTCTGCCACGTACCTCCCCCCACACACCCCAACACACATTTCCTCTTGACCCACCCTACGCCTCCACCATTGATGAAGAAACGCACTTCCTGGGGTCACGCGGTGTCAGAAATGTGCTGTTTAACCTAATTACTCCACAGGAAGGAGGCTGTAGAGAGGAAAAAATGGAGGCGAGGAACAAAGCAGAAAAAGATATATGGTTTTTAATATTTCAGCAACAATATCACAACCCAAGTATTTACTTGGCTTCATGGATCCAGGAAACTTTTAAAAAATAAAGGTTTTAATTTGACTGTTTGGTTGCCAGTTTTCCCACAAGCTTTGCAGCTTTTTTCCTTTTATCACAGCTGAGCAGCTACCAGCTCAGTTTGCCAGCGCCAAAAAGTTCCCAGAGCACCTCTAAGCAAGGGCAAGGGGAGCTTGTCACCATTTCTGTTCCCTCTTTCAACAGTATCAGCATCAAATACAGTAATACAACGCAACAGGTTATTGCCTGCCGTGTGTTCAGTGCGTTTTGGGGGCTTTTGCTTCCCCCCCCCCGGAGGGTAATCCCCACGGTTACTCGTCCTCCTTCTAATTTTTTTTCTCACTCTCTTTCTTGATATGCAGGAAAGCAGTTCTGGGTGTTTAAGGACACGGTGTTGCAGTCCGGATACCCCAAGGACATCTCCCAGTTTGCCCACGGCATGCCCTCGCAGAGCATCGACACCGCCCTGTGGTGGGAGGATGTGGCCAAAACCTACTTCTTTAAAGGGGACAGGTGGGTACGAGTGGAGGTCTTAGATCAGATCTGGACTTTCTTCCTTGAAAGCCGTGTGCAAATTTAGCCTGCAAAGGTCTCTTAAAAGCGAAGCGTATGATCTTAAGTTGGTGGATATTTAGTATCACTAAACAAGAACGGGAAGAATGTTTTAAAGTAGTGTTTCTGATCTGACACAGAGTCGCTCTCAACCTGATTTCATTTAACACTTGTGCTAAAGAACCATCTGTAATATGTTGCTACAAAATCAGGTCAGCGACTCCTCGTAGAGGACGGTTCATTAGTTTTCTTTGTTTGTCTGCTGTCCCACATCATCAGGGTAAAAAAGGTTCAGGGAAAATGTGGGATAGAGTTAGATTTTCCCCATGCCTCTCACACCTGCTATGATAGGTATTAGTTGGATTCACTCACTAGAGGAAGCTGACAGTGTGATAGTAAGATACTAGGTATACTCATAAAATACCATCTGTTTCCATTTTCAGCCCTGTGTTCCTCTAGCCTTATAGTACCTGCTTTGTCTTCCCGTGGCTCATCGTTTGTTCCTGTTTAGGTACTGGCGCTACAATGAGGAAATGAGAATCATGGACCTTGGCTATCCTAAGCCTATCACAGTGTGGAGAGGTGTGCCTGAATCGCCACAGGGGGCCTTCGTGGACAAAGCCAATGGTACGATTTGTCCTGCACAATACTCTGGTTTGGCAAGCAAGTCGCAGTTTGCTTGCCAGGCTGCATTGATTTCAGATGGTCACTGGCAGGGTAGCATTGATTGAAATTTGCCCCACTTATTAAACACAGTCTCAGTGTGTGGCACGCTTCCATACATGCAATACAGAGGGAAATGTTTTTTGCATATTCCAAACAAAAAGCAGGTCAGATCATCCAGAAATACATTTTTCCCTGTTTTTTATGAATTGCTTCACAAGTAAATATTGCGTAATCGGTCCTTCCTGCTCTGAATGCCATAAGACCCAGTCGGAGCCGGACTGTGGAAAGCAGAAAGGACAAGACCACCGCTGGGTGCTCATTCCGGTTTTAAGCCAACTGTCTCTCTTCAGGCTTGGGTAGGCGGGATTAAAATCTCGCAGGGAGCTCAACGATAGGCCGCTCAGATGGCAAGGCTACAAAAATAATCTTTTCCCATTGGATGCACCGTGCCAGGTGGGTTTGGGGTCTGGTCTTGGCTGCAAGTCGTTTGGAAAAAACAGAGCAGGTGGTGTTGAAAGCTCGCGCCATCTGTGCCGAAGATCCCCCGCCAGACCTGTAGCTGGGCGTTTCTGCCGGTGAGGCCAGGTGGAGCGGGCATCAATCAGAGCATGAAGGATGGACTGATATCCAAGCGGACGATGGCTGTTTGTGTATGTTTCTGCACGTAAATGTGTCGGCCTTCGTTTATTGAGCGAGCCGGCTGTTTGCCGAGACAGCGCGCCAAGTGGACCGCTCGCAACACTGACCCAGATCACCAGGCGTAATTGAGCACGCCACTGTAGCCCACGACAGTGTGTATGAGACGGCACGTTTCGGAGCGGGGAGCCCAGGGCGACGTTGACCTGGTTCTAACCCACACAAGCTCAGCCTGTCTGACCTCTCATCTGCTCTCCCCCTCTGTGTCTCTCAGTGAATAGTTCTACTTGTCATGGAGCTGTATAGTTAGTCTTCATGTGGATCTATTTCTAACAAAAACCCTTTTTCGCTTAATTTGGGTTAAATGTAGGAGAAAAGTGTGACAGAACCTGCTGCCAGATCAGAAAGAGGAGCATCCCGACAGTGGCTGTAATTCATCAGCTGATCACAATACTCAGCTGAGCTCTAAATACTAATTCAAAGGGCATTGTGTGGTTTGGCCTGTCTCACTATACGCAGTCAGGTTGTGAAGACAGAGCTGTGCCCGACAAGGTGATCAAGTCTCCCACTTGGCCAGGCCGGCCCCTCTTTCATCTAAAATCCCACCTTACGCTGTTTCATTTCCTCGCTCGAACCATCTCCAACCGACACGTTGTTTAAAAAGCGCTGGCCTCCCTCGCCTGGAAATTTAGAACATTTCTTTCCTCATCTTCTCAGAGAGGAGTGCGCATAAATAATAAGTGTGAAAGGAGGCCAACGAGGGAGAGGAGAGCTCGAGAATTCAGCCAGGCTGTCCGTACCAGTTTTACACGGCACATTTTCCCAGTGAGCATTTGAGGGACGGTGGAGGCAAAGTTTAGTTTGAAATGAACATATTGTGGGCATGGAACAACAAAAAAATAGTTTCTTTGTGTTTCATGATTTTTTTTTCCATCGCTAGAGCCGTTGTGGAGAGGTGGGACAGTTGCCCTCACGTCCCGCCACATAATCGACCGTCGCTCTCGTGGCTTAGAAAGCGCCTTGTTTGCCAGTGACATTTGCTGCGCTTTTGTGTGAGCGTAGCTACGGGGACTGACTCCCGCTCGGGTGTGTTTTCTCTTTCATGACTGGTATAATTAGTCCTGAGGGACAGACACAGATATCCCAGCAGAACAACTGAACTGAAACCGTAACAGTGGCTCAGCATCAGAGCAGCACACACACTACTGGCTTATCTTTATTTTGACTTCGCTTGAATAATTTTATTCCTTTTAAGATAAAAGGTGATTTCTTTTTTAAAGATTCAATTAGTAATAAATTCTTTGAATAGTTTGTGACTTTATTAAATACATAAAAAGACATGAAAGAGCTTCCTCCAAAGCAACAGTTGTGCCCGGTTACTTCAGTATATGTTAGCAGTAAAAATGATGCCTGACGTGTATTGATGAGGATCTAACAGCAAATGGCTTATAAGCTAGTAATGTGACGTATTCCTCACGTTTTAGCACTCGCCCTAGCTGGTGACCTTTCCGTCAGCTGAATGAAATTGTTATCATTATATCCAGTTTGATGGCTTTTCGGTGACAGCTTAATGCACATTGTGACAGTACTGACAGAGCTGAGCATTAGTTGAAAATGTGCTAAATCACTTTTTAACAACTTTTGTGTGCGTGTGTCCTTGCTTCAGGTTTCACCTACTTCTACAAGGGGAAGGAGTACTGGAAGTTTAGCAACCAGTTCCTCAGAGTGGAACCGGGCTACCCGCGCTCCATCCTCAAGGACTTCATGGGCTGCGAGCTGACGCCCATCGACCCCGGCCGCCCGCCGGCCGACGACGGCAACTCGGAAGTGGTGATCGAGCTGGACAACGAGGCCAACACGGTGAAGGCCATCGCCATAGTGATCCCCTGCGTGCTCGCGCTGTGCCTGCTGGTGCTGGTCTACACCGTGGTGCAGTTCAAGAGGAAGGGCACGCCTCGCCACATACTGTACTGCAAACGCTCCATGCAGGAATGGGTTTGAATTTTTTTGGAGGGGGGTGGGGTTAAGAGACGAGAGGGCAGAGCTAGGGTGGGAGTTAAGAGGATTGTGGAAAAACAGTACAACAGCCCCCCCACTTTTCACAGAGAGGAGGACGGTGGACACTGGACAGCTTTATGGGAAAAACAACAAGCCACGCCTCCTCCTCTTCGGCGATCGATACTTTCGTGCAGAACCAGCCGAGAAGTCTGACGGTGATCCCGCGTTTAAAAAAAGGCGACTCCCAGGACTTTAAGCTGACTTTCTCCAGCCCCCAGCCTTTTTAACAAACGGGGCCCAGAGGGACAGTTTGTGGAGGCGGATCTTTGTCGGATGTGACCTTCGATCCCGGTCCAAAAATAATGAGAACAAAAAAAAAAAAAAAAGAAAAATTCAACAAGAGGGTCAGCATCACTTTGTATCTCAGAAACTCGACTTCCTATCCCCGTCCTCTTTTTGTTTCTTTGCCCGACTGCTTTTCAGACGGAGGACTTTCAGGGGAACAAACACTCTTCCCACAGGGCACTGCATTGTCAACTGTGTCATATCAGGTTGTTGATAAACAGCTTTCTATTTTCTGATCCGCGTGCCCCTCCCCTCCTCCAGCTTCAGACTGGGCTCAGAAAAAAATAAAAATAAAAAAATAAGTCTCAGATAAACACAACTTTATTACGTAACCAATCATTCATCTGTTTTTATGTTTGTTTTTTCTTTTTTTCTTCTTCTTTTATTGGAATTCATGTGAGAAAAGAGGTCCTCACTGTTCCCTTTAAGACATCCCTGAAGAAGAGACCAAACAAAACCAAATAAAATCCATCTCTCTCCAAAGAGGATCACATTTTTCTTTCTTTCTTTAGTTCCTTCTTTCCCTTCTCTGGATCCTTGCAGCGATTACGAGTTGGGGGGAGCTCTGACTGTTGTGGCAGTCTGTTTGAGACACAGGGGCCAAATTATTCTGCAATATTTTAACTCGCCTTAATTATACATCATACTACTTGTGCTTGGTTTTGCTGTTCTTGGTGTTTTTCTTTTTTTTTAATTATTTTAATTTGTATACCGCTATTATTTCTTTTTGTTTCTTCTTCCTTTTTTTAAAGAAGCTGCTTAATTGCTTCTTGTGGTTGGTATTTTATGAATTTTATTACGTTACTCAGAATCCTCAGCACTGGCTTGCTGAGCCATTCTGGACAGATTAATACAGTAGGTCCAGCCTGTACTGAAAGTAATGTATTGTATACTAAAAAAAAAAAAGATGTTGGAAGGTTCTGGAGTAAAGCCACTATTTTTGTGTGTTAAGGTATTTGTTACTGTTAGTTTTGATATTTCCATAAGACAGGCTGACAGGAGTCTTGTTTCTGGATTTGTCCTTGGCCCATATTCCTGTTTTTGTTTGTTTGGGTTTTTTTATTTCTTTTTTTGTGAATGGACTTAATTAAAAAATAATGATAATAATAAAATCCTGTTGACTGCCTTGTTTGAGAGAGCTCACAGTTCCCAGAATGCTCTTGTCTGAAGACTGAAGTGAGACAGCAAGTCAAGATCAGTGCCTGTGTCAACGTGCATGCAAGCATTTACTGTACGACCCTATCGGTTCTGCTCAACATGGCTTTGGACCCCCTTCCCTCCCATCGAGCCGAGGAGGAAGTTTTCTCTTAAAAATACTGTTTATGTTCACTTTTGTATCTTTTAAGTGTACCCCGGTCCCACCGCCTGCCTTCCTCCAGCTACAATTAAATCCGAGACAAACAAACTGTAAAAGATTTAAGTGGTACATTTGGGTGATTGGCAAGTCAAATTGGCCTGAACCAAACACGTAGTGTCATGGAGTCATGACGGGTAGTCTTTGAATGTGTGTTTGTTTTCATGATCACATACTGTTTTGTTTTTTTTTCTTTCCTGTTTTCTGGTCAAAACAACTTGGACATGTCACAATGACTTGTTTGTGTAAGACTTTGGGACAAGAGAAAAACATGTCCCGATTGAATGAATAAACTGATCAATATACATTGAAGAACCGCCTTCAAACTCTCTACTCGTTTTTTTAAACTCAGCAGGTAGACTGCATTTTGAAACCGTGTTAATTTGCATTCAGGCATCTAAATCCTTTTAGCTTTAGTGTTTTTTTATAGGGTTAAATATCATAAGATTATTGCAGACTACATCTAAAGTGTGAAAGCTTCTTATGTTTTCTTGGTGAGCAAACGTAAAATATACAGTTTCAAAGTTTAATTAAATGGTTGAAGGTTCAAGTTACACAGCGCTGTGGACCTGTCAAACACCCGCCCACACTAGTGAAGGAAGTTTTTATTGTATCACACAAATAAGATATGTGTATGGTTGGTTAAAAAGTTGGAAAGGAGATGCAGTTTGTAGGGAAACTTGGCTTTCCCAATTTGGCACTTGGTCTGGTAGCTGGTTCATCTTACATCTTAACACCAGTCGGGCATCTTCTCCCTGTGAAGAGAAACAAAACTCCATCGTACTTACACACACCTCAGACTCTATGCCCTGTCCTTTGTGTCCAGTAATTTTCCACTACAGCCTTGTGATGTATGGGTGTGGCGTTTTCCTTCAACACTCTATATTATCCTGCAAAACATAAATGTGCGATAAAAGATTTTTAAAAAGGTAAATTCCCATCGTTAATGAAAGTTTCAGTACATTTCATCATAGTTTCTGTCCTCATGCATTCGTTTTTATTTTTATTTTCACCCTGCTTGAAACATTAAGTAAAAGGTATAGTGAGCATCGATTCTTGACACATACTGTTAATGAGGACATTTTTATTTATTTACTCGATATCCATCACAACAGAACGTCCTCTGTTTAAACCAGATATTAACGGCTTTCTGTTGCAATGTGATGAGTTTGTTGCTCATTACATTCATAGGTCATTCACTTTGGCTCTGTACACCACCACGGTGGATTGTAAATCAGTCAGATGTAGAAACAAAGGTTTTGTGATAAATGTTTAGTTTGTCATATTCATACCCTTTCTCCTATCTTCCCAACCTCAAACGTAATGGGACCCTTGGCTCCCTCCTGTTCCATCACCAATGTATGACAAAAATATATATCAGAGTGCAAAAACCTAGGAGAGGCTAACTCAACACTTGGGTTTATTCTTAAAAAGAACGATGCACTAGCAAACACAGCAGCACCAAAAGGCCTGAAAGGCCTGAGAAGACAACTAAAAGTGCACAATGACAGAATTATTTCCACGGTTAGGAAAAGCAACTTCACAACATCTTAACAACTCAGCAACGCACTCAAGGAGGCAGGCTTTATTAATTTAAATACACAGAGTTTAAAACAAGCAGCAAAATTATATTTGTGTTCAAGATTAATTTTAAAAAGTCTTCAGGTAAGAGATCATGTTATAGCATGCATGGCTGCCAGTGGAAACAGGTTACTAGTGTTTAATGATGAGACTGCTGATAGAAGTAGGAGGCTGGATATGTGAAGTGAAGGGCTATACTCTGCTCAGATTCAGCTAAATGCTGCAAAACTGATCAGACAAGTCACAGTGCAGGTGAATGGTCCAAAGCATGCTACAAAAACAACCAGTGCAAAGAAAAGAAAACTATTCTTCAATGGCCAACAGAGCAGGCTTTTCTTCCACTTAATCGGGTCAGTCTTACAATTCAGGGTCACAAAAATGCTTACAGTGCTTTTCTACTCTACATGACCACTCAAAGTGCTTTATGCAACATAAAGCACTTTGATATTTGGTTTGCAGACTGGAGCAGCCAGGAATCAAACCACAAACCCTTCAACCTGCCCCAGGCTGGAGCCTATCCCAGCTGCCATAGAGCAAGAGGCAGGGTCAGCCCAGGACAGGTTGCCACTTTGTTGCAGAACATAAAGAACAGTCACAGTCCCAACTATGGCTAATCTACTAACCTAATGTCTTTGGACTGTGGAAGAAAGGCGGAGTAACAGAGGGGAACATGCAAACTCCACACCAAACGACTCAAACTCACGACCTTCAGTGCATATCGCCGAGCTGCTTTTCAGTTGTTAAATAGAAAACTATTAATTAACTGCAGACCCACATGCAAGAAGCAACATAAGGTGGCAGAACATCTAAGGATGGAAACACAGGACTATGGGTCCTAGACCTTAGGCCATCATTGCCTGCAGAGGATTTTAATCCAAGTATTATGAATAATGCTTATATTTAAACTAATGTTAGTTTGTCTGATTATTTTTAAGCCTCTCAAAATGGCAAACAATGCATAGAAAGGGTTGTAATTCCTAAACAGTCCAATTCAGTCTCTGCTTCAGAGTGTTACACCCTTGGACTTGTGTAACAAGCCACAGGGTGAAATTATCAGTTATGGTTTTACACTTCCTCTACACTTAAGTTTTTTATGGATTAAACAGGAAGATACAACTTATCTGGCGAGCTCTAAAAGTGCTTGGTTTTCTTAACGTTGGAGCACATAGTTGCCATCCCCAGTGTGTGTATCCTAAGCTAAACTAATCAGCTGCTGGTTAGAGCGGCATGATTGCGGACGCGAGGGCGATATCGAGCTCATCAAACTGACATGAAATATGACTGGGAGCGTTCACTGTGCCCTCCCACACGGTGCAGTCAGAGGGCTGACATACAGTAAATACAGGTATTGGCTCAGCCCACGGTGCACTCTACACTCCAGAGATTAAACTTAGCCATCGGCAGGAAAGATATACAAAAATAAATAAAAAATAAAAAGCTCAGAGAAATGTGTGTGCGTGCTGATCTGGGCTCAGCAGGCCTCTGGTATTGTGCGCTGCTGTATTTTTATGTGGCATGATTAAAATCGGCTCTTTGGATGTGCAGTCCCAGAGGTGCAGCATTGGCATTTATTGCGGACTGAATGTGAAACAGGAGCCGCGTATGCCTCGATACTGTTTATTCTAGCTTCGCTGGGACACATTTGACATATAGTTACTGACAACAAAGTGGGTGAGGTCACGCCAGTTTACTGACTGTGGTCACGACTCCGAGTGTGGGTGTGTTTGATGAAATTACACTCTTAGGGAAAACCCTTCATCGGTTCTCGTCATAGGCCTGTGCAATGGTGAAATTGCCTCTGCTGTCAGACAAAGGCATTATATGCTCAGCTATGTTTAGATCGGTGCTTTTTTTCTTTTCCGGAGGCTTTTAGTCATTGTCTCTGTAAATACAGACTCGGAGTGTGTGTCCACGTCCCTGTTTGTGTTCTCCCTCAGATGTCCTGGGGTGTATTTAGTGTATGTACTTTCCTCTAGCAGCAATATAAGCTGTTCAGTCAGTCAGAAAGCTTCAAAAAAGTCTGTATGTGCAACACTACACACAGAGAAAAGTGCTTCATGTGCATTAAACATGTTGCTCCTGCATCTGTGCCTAGATCCCTTTCTGGTCTCCATGCTTTGTGTACAATGCCAGAGAGAGTGAATATGTGTTTGAGGGCATTTAGTCGCACAACTGGAGCCTGGACGAAACCCCGTGGGCTCACCAGGCTCCACTGCTCCTGCCAGGCTGAAACACGGGTGCTAAACTGACCTACGCTGGACCCAGCGTTTTTTCAACAGTTCCATTTTTGGCAGCACTGCTTCTCCTCCTGCTGTCGGATTATTATAATGGGAACTAATTCATGCTTTAACCCAAGTGCTTGTAATTCACCTCTTGATGGTTCATTCTAGGTTAAGGACCATATTTCCTAGTATTAGTGCAGAACAGGCAGCAGCTGAACGGAGCTTCTTGAAGGTCAGTCAGGATCAAGCTGTTGCTTTTAGCTGGATGAAAAAGGTTAAAACACATAACTGCACACATGCACACGCAGATCAATGACTGTTTACTTGTACTGTCTTGCAGCAGAAAGGCCAGCGCATCGTCTATATTCAGAGAAAGCAAAAAACAAACATTGTGTGACTCTCGCTGTTTTCTGTTACGTGCTCGTTGGGTCTTTATGGGAGTTTGATGACATTTCCTCTATGTGTGTCTGTGAGACTTGTCAGCACCACCACTTCCTCCTTGACTCTCAGCTCACTCATTGTCAAAACCCACCGTTTGTTGAACCTCCCCCAAAATAAATGGGCCAATCAGGCTTGTCAAGCATTGCAGTTTTGTGTGTGTGGATCCACTCCAGATAATTTGACGCCCTTTATTGAAAACCGTTTCGAGACCAGAAACACAGAAACAGCGAACGTATAAACAGTGTTTATCAGGCCTAGTGGAAGCTGTCATCATTAGCATTCGTATATAATTAGCTCGGTTATGAGGAGTTACTACCAGAGACAGGCATTCATGTTTAGGGTTATAGATTACATACAAAAACAAACAAACTTGACCTCTACTGCCACACATACACAAACACACGTAAAACGCTTGATCGTGGGTGGATGATTGGCCGTAAGGATGCTGACACGATATAGTGTTCATTCTGTTTTTAATCAAAACATAAATACAGTGATGTGAAAGTATTTGCCTCTTCCTGAGTTTTGTGAATATTTGTCACACCGTTGAACAAATTTTAAGTAGACAATAACCAGAGTAAATGCAAAATGCAGATTTTAAATGAGAATTTTATTTATTATGGGTAAAAAAGTGATCCAAATCTCCCTTGCCCTTCAAACTCCAAACCAATAACTGCTGATAACCGGCAACGAGTCTTTCACATCACTGGGAAAGAATTGTGACCCACTCAGAATTAATTTGAGCCTTATTAGAGAGTTGTTAGGGTTTTGCTTTGGCATCACCTTAAATAAGACGATGAATGACCTGTTTGAGGTCATGCCAAAGCATCTCAGTTGGATTCCAATGTGGAATTTGACTAGATCTTTCCAACGCCTCATTATTTTATTATTTTATTTTGTTATTGTTTGTTTAGTCATTCAGTGTTGGACTTGCTTGTGTGTGCAAGTGCACTTGAGCTTCAGGACACGAACTGATGGCCGAGCCTTCTTAGAGAGTCAACCAGGTCCCGAAGCAGCAAAGCAGCCCCGGCTCCACACACTATCACCACTGTGTTTGACTGTTGCTGTGCTGTTCT